GAGTTCTGTCCCGTAAATCGGATACTGACTTGAAAGCGAAATACTCCTCCACCTCCATGAGTTGGCAACACGTGCTTGTAAGCCAAGAAAAAAGGACCTCAGCACGTGGATAAGTTCCCTGAATGGAACCTACTGGGATTGCATGTATCACGCCAAGCGTTAAATCGAGCAATGTGGAGCAACACTTACGTTTTTCGATTCTTTGTGAAACTATCTGCATTTATTGCTAAACGATTTGGTTTTATTTTTTTTTTTTTTAATGAAACCCAGAATGTATGCAACATAAATATTTTCTGCAATGTAAAAGTAAAAAACCATGTAGACTGCGCTAGGATATGTAAAAATAAAAGCAAGTTCGCTTCTTAACCCTTTGCAACCCATCGTAGGCTGTGAGCACCTTGATAAATTTAACAGCTAACGCTATAACTATTGCTTTGGTATATCTTCTCTAGGAATAGGAAATAAAACGTATCTGAAGATTGCCTTACTCACAAAATAGGGAAACTGCCTCGTAGATAAGTTCATGTAAGGTCCTGTAAAATTATTTAATTTCGTGTAAAAACTGTGTAGTGTCTAATAAATAAGCAATAAAGAAAATGAAAATAGGATATTTCATATTTCAAATATATATTCTACAAAAAAATAGAAAACCCTATAGTCGAATAGATAGTAGTGGTAAATCGACTGGTTGCACTGCTTGCTTTCCATTATTTGCTCATAACTTTTTAATGATTTTAAAATTTTCTTCTACATTATTATTATTAATAAACACAACAAAATTACATTTACAGTTTTACAACATATCTTGGAGTAACCTATATTAAGCAAAAATTTGTAAAGCATTCAACTCGTTGTTAAAATCTTAGAAATGTACAAAAACCCACATATGTACACACAAAAAAAGCAATAAAATAAATGTTTGAAAGCCTTTCGAAACTTGTTAAACGGGTCGATGGCCACAGTCGTTAGATACTTCTTCCCTAAATTAGTTATTGCATTTTAAATGCCATTTATGTATAATAGCTCATACTAAATAAAAAAATTTTCTTAAATGTTATATTTCGATCATATCATCTTCAACATGAAGACTATAAATATAAAACAAGAGAGAACGCTATAGTCGGGTTGTTGTCCCGACTATCTAATACCCGTCACTCAGCTAAAGGGAGTGCGAACGCTGTGTCGGGTTGGTGTCCCGACTAATAATCGTAACTCAGCTAAAGGGAGTGCGAGGGAGATAGATATATAATTTTTGATTGCGTATAACTTTTTAATGAATGGTCCGATTTGAAAAATGTCTTCTACATTTCGATAGGTATAAATATACAGAACAAAATTGCATTTATACTTCTCGAAAATCTTTAAAGATGTGGGCGCAGGACCCATTTTAAAACCGTTAGTGGGCGATTGTGGGCGTTAGAGGGGGCGTGGCGCTCGGCTAAAATAAACTTGGGCTGCGTAGGAAGCCAAAGAATATGTGTGGGAAATCTCAACCTTCTAGCTTTTGTAGTTTCTGAGATCTCAGCGTTCATACAGACGGACAGACGGACAGACGGACAGACGGACAGACGGACAGACAGACAGACGGACAGACGGACATGGCTAGATCGACTCGGCTAGTGACCCTGATCAAGAATATATATACTTTATGGGGTCGGAAACGCTTCCTTCTAGCTGTTACATACTTTTGCACGAATCTAGTATACCCTTTTACTCTACGAGTAACGGGTATAATTAGTTGGTAATGGAATTTCAAGACTTGCACCTTGGTTTGCGTGACACCAGGGCTGAGATGTGACTCTCCCAGTAAGACTACTTTTTACATACATACATATGCTTATCAGTTGGCCCGACAATTGTCATGTAAATTTAATCAGTCGGCCACAAAAGTAAAATCAAACAAACAATAATACGGAGTGCATTGCCTTAGGCAGCGATGCGCAAAGGGAGTTCGAGATTGATTACATAAGGAGGATGCTATCCGAGGGGCTGACAGCGATACCGATCCCCCAATGGACTCTGCACACGAAACTTTGCGTATTATCAGTAGCATGGAGTGGAGTGCCAGCTCATATCTTATCATTCGGCGGAGTCACCAGCCAAAAAGTAGGAAGGGAACGAGCCGTGATTAGATTGCGACCGAAAATGCAATGAGACCTTGTGATTCATCAAGTGAATTACACACATGTGCGGTGTTTAATTGAAAAATGCTAGCAACGCCAGGCATTAATTAAAGAGCCTACACTTTCCCTGGCTGGTTCAATAAGTGACCTTAAGACGTGACGTTGTCTGGCTTTTCTAGCAAGACGGTAGCAGCCCTTCCAATTCCCATTATAGTTTCTCAACAGCAGCGGATATCTATGTATATCTAACTAACCGGCAATCACTTAAGTAGCTGAACACACCCACATTGTGTTCGCCCCCGGATCCGTCCCTTATATATGTATGGTATGTATAGTATATCCATATCCGTAGCCACGAAGAGAGTGAAATTTGTGTGGCACCCCGCTCCACTCTTTAGTTTGGCATTGTTTTGATTTTATCGGTTTGTTTATAACTTTGCTGGGTCGGGTTCCAAATGTTACTGCGATTTCAATTTCATTACCATTTAATTGGTCACTTGGCGGGAGGGAAAATGGCAATCGGTTGTTTAAAGATTAGAAACAAACTAATTGTGGCATTATAGTGTAGGAGAAAAAACGTATTAAAGTTGTCTGGGATTTTCCGGAACACGAGTATTTAAATTATTTTACATTCTGTTCATTTGCTTCGCTCTGTAATCCCATCTGCCGGGCAATGAGTTTTCGCCAAGTTCTCCATGCGGCTTAAGCGGCTAATGAGTGCACGCCGGTTGTGTTAACTGCCTGACAAGGCAAAATAGCCGAGACCATTGCAACACTTGGCCAACTTATTTTTGGGCATTTCCTACACTCGAAAATATGGCAAAGCATTTTGGTAAATCAATCTTAAATATTGAAAGGTCAGTAAAAATCGGTTTCTTCTTGCAAAACTTTAAATATTTAAATGATTATTTCAAATAGCATTACTTTCTTTAAAATAAACAGGCTAAAAATGTACACTTTGTACATACAAAATGATTTTAATTTAAAAAAACTAAATAAAACATCCGTTATCGTTTTTTTTTTGAGTGTATCCCACTCCGCACACTTTAAGCCTGACCCCGAAAGGTATACATATTTTGACATGATCGTAGTCGACACAAATCCGCCCCATTGTGGGATTCGGTACTCACTCCGTTGTGCAGGTATCCGTTGTTGCGGTTGATGTCCATGTGGGTCCGATTGGGCATGGCCGATGCGAGTTGCAGCGCCTCCACGGCGCCGAGATCCAACTCCGGCTGATACTCGGCGTATGCCGGAGCGGCACTGCGGAGGGAGAACTGCGAGGAGCTGATGGGCTGCGCCTCCGAGGAGGGAATCCAGATCCGGCGACGCACGAATATGGGTGACTCCTTGGCGCTGAGGGCGCCTAGAGAGCCAAGGCCGGGACTCACTGGTCGCTGCCTGTGCTCCACGGGCAGGGGATTGGAGTCCGGGAGGTCCTTGGACAGGTACTGGCAGCGCAGGCAGGCGCAGGTGAGGTCCGTCAGCTGATCGGCAGACTTGGACTTTGGCAAGGACTTGGCCAATCCGACTGCGGATTCCTGGGCCAGGCAGTCGCAGAGGTTCCGTCGTCCGGCGGAGGTCGAGACAACGCTGCTCCGGATGACGCTGGTTGCCATGCAACCACCGATATGGGAAGTACGATCTTTAGACCTTCCGCGGGTTTATCTCACGCCCCCGCCCAGTCAAGGTCATTCACACACCACACGATCTATTGTCTTTCGCTAGCTGTCCCACTCTCACTCTAGAGAATCCAGATCCCGCGCAACATGTGGTTTGGCTCCTCCACCCAAGGTTCAGGGCTAACGGTAAACAAAGCCCAGACTGTTCTTAAACTTATCAGAATTGGTATTTATTGTTGCGAATTTCACTGCTATTTGCGTCGTTATCTCAACTGATCGGTTTGTTGAACTCGACCGTTGCACTTTTTTGGACAACTGTGCACTCGAATCGCTGGAAACTGGTTTCGCCTCAAATGCAAATGGAGCACTTCGGAGCACTTAGTTTCTTGCATAAGCCTTAAACGCTCTTTATTATTGTTATTTTTATTTCCCTTACGCGTCGTCTGCTCTTGGCGGTAATTCTACGGGCCGTAAATTAAATTCACACACGTTCGATTTCCAGACACGCAAAACTACGCTAGCAACAACAACAGCAGGCAAGACGGTACACAACAACAACAACTGCAAGGCTTGTAGACGTCCGCCGTCCAGTAAAGTTTAAAACTGAATAACTGAAAAAACGAGGAAAACTTCGGAGCCCGAGCACGAGTGAATCTGAAAGCGAGAGCTCGGCAAAAAGCTTTATATAGAAAGCCGTTAAACTGACGAATCGATGTTATAGCTTTCAGTTTAGGCGGCATTAATTCAAAATTAAATTCAAATCATTTCAAATTTAAGAAACAAATTGTTTTGTGTTTCTAGTTAATCCCACTGTGACTGCTTTTTAAAGCTCACCCAGTCTTTGACGATGCCAGATGGTTTTATACCCGTTTCTCGAAGAGTAAAAGGGTATATTGTATTCGTGCAAAAGTATGTAACAGCTAGAAGGTAGCATCAGCTAGAATATATATAAAGTATATATATTCTTGATCAGGGTCACTAGCCGAGTCGATATGGCCATGTCCGTCTGTCTGTCTGTCCGTATGAACGCTGAGATCTTGGAAACTATAAAAGTTAGAAGGTTGAGATTTCCCACACATATTCTTGGCCTTTCTACGCAGCGCAAGTTTATTTTAGCCGAGCGCCACGCCCCCTCTAACGCCCACAATCGCCCACTAACGATTTTAACATCTGAAACTAATTTCCATTAAAACTTATTTATTCCAATGCTAACATCGGCAAGGAACGACACAGAATTAGTATTATTCATTGGATAACAAGAATTTGGTTTATTTTCAAAAATAATTACACTTTTAAATCTAGTTTTCAATAAATGTTAGCATACCCATGGCTTTTTGTCAGAATCCAATCAACAAGTCCATGCTGAAACACACTAGGAACAACATTCACTTAACTTACTAGTAAAAGCTGCCGAGAGCTCCTCAACAACCTCGTCTAATTAAGCTTAAACTAAGGGCAGCTGCGCATGCTCAACATGATTGCAACTGCCCGTTGACTACAAAGACATACGGTAATGTCACACTGAGGTAAAATATATTAGGGAATTGTGGAGAATCCCGAGGGGCAATCACACTTTTGCAGCTTCCTTCTCAGCCTCGATCCTCTTTCTCTTAGCCAGCAGGAAATGCGAGACGTTCTCGTACACCAGGAAGGTGATCATGCAGGCGGGCACCACGCGCGTCAGGCTCGCCTGGAGACCCTTGTAGAAACCTCTGAAGCCCTCGAAGCTGCAACGAAAACCAAACACGTCGGGGGTTAGTGACTGTGAACCAAGAGCTACAACTACTTACAGTAAGTGCGCATTGGCTGTTTCAGATTAGCAAAGAGATTCTGCACAATTTAGGGGGTGACTGACGACTTAAGGAGCGGAAGGAGCAAGGACTACTTACTGAAGCTGCCCTGAGCCCTTGGCCAAATGAAAGACGCTGTTTGGACGCGCTGACCGTGTTTGCTTTAGTTCGTTTCTTGTTTTTCTTTTGGGTTTGCCATCGTGGCATTTTAATATAGGTAAGTAATTTCGCATTTTCATCTCTTTTCATTGGTTTCAATAAGATTGTTCCACTGTTTTGCTTAGTTGGGTTCACAATGCGTTTATGCTTATTTACATAAGTGTCAAGGTTTATGCTTAAAATTATAAACCATTTTCATAATTATGAAGAATCTTTTTGCCAAAACGAAATTTTTGCATCAACTAAACAGTAAACTGGTTTCAACTTGTGCTTACACAATTCCAAGCCATTACAAAATAAATAATTTAACTAAACTAAAAACTAAATGTGTGTTTGTTTTTGATGAAGAGTGCAAGAAATGCTTCTCTGAAATTACATTTCATGGGCAAAGGCAATTGTTGTCGCGCCCTCAATCACATCAGTTACTTTTGAAGTGTTAGGAGTGAAGGATGTACAATAAACTAGTTATGGAATACTCTTAAGGCTACGGTTAGGTGCTAGGGCTAAACCGAAATCGAGTTACAACAATAATACAGAATAAGTTTGTCATTTTCTGCTGTTAGCTGCACATCGGAGGAAACGAGAAAGATTCGTGTATTCTAGGCGCTTAGCTTAAATTCTGTGTCAGATTCTAAATTCTAGGCTCTAGTTTAATACTCCATCTAGCTGGTCAGCTTCTCCCAGATCAGCATGACCATGCAGATGTTGGGCGTGACGTGGACCAGGTAGGGCACCAGGCCCTTATAAAAACCGCGCATGCGCTCGTACCTCCAAGTCTGTTTGATGCAGTCCCAGGTGCCGTTGTAGCGGTGGTGGTGGTCCTGCAGCCGTGCCCGCACCACCTGGTACGGGTAGGTGGCCGCCGCCGCGATCAGCTTGGAGACAGCCGCGAAGGCCAAGTACTCGGTGGTGGCCTGTGGAAGAGGGAACACATATTAGCGGGACGAACAGAATGTATTGAATGGCTGCCAAATCGTAGCGACGTCATCACAACCAGATATATTCGGATATCTTGTGTACAGCGAACCCACCATTTTTGAATAAGAATGAGTTCTAAAGAATTGTATATTTTTCTTGTGCTAATTTAAATAAAACTAAAGTTAATTTTTCAAGTTGACGAAGGAAAATCTATTAACATTAATATGAAAAGCTAAAATCCCTGTCTTTAATTGGTAATGATAATACCTAATGCACAATTAAGAAAAAGGGGAATTTATTCTTAATAAAATGCCTGGCGATATATTTTCAGCTATTTAGTTGACCGCAAGTGTCCGCCCAATTTAGAATATAGCCGATGTCAACGCCACGCGCGTCTTGGTCATGTGATGATTTTTTGCTCGTCTTTCTTCTGCCTACTCACCAGCTTCGTGTCGATGGGTAGCTTTCGGTACTCGTTGTAGGCGTTCTTCATCTCCTCGTAGGTCATGAACTGGATGGCTCCGTGGGAGACGCCCAGCATGCCGGGCACAAAGCCGCGGTATAGGCCACGCACACCCTCCTCCTTGTAGATCTGGCCCAGGGCGTGGATCATGCCCCTATACTCGGCACTGCTCGAGGCATCGCACTGCAGGCAGAGTCGCGTCTTCACCACCCAGATGGGGTTGGTCAGCAGCAGGGTGAGAGCTCCGGATTCCGCAGCTGCCAGCATGTGCATCGTGGGACCCAGGGGCATGGTGGTGTTGCCTCCCTGGATAAACGTCTTGATGGTGTTGTAGCTAAGGGAGATATTGTTAGTTTTGTTGTCTCGTGTTTATCTGCACGGCGGAGTACTTACAACATGAAGTACAGACCCCAGGAGGAGCCCGATCCCCAGACATTGGGGGTGACGCCCTTGTAGAGTCCACGGAAGCCCTCTTGCCGGAAAATTGTGGTAAAGGCGCTGCTCAGACCCCGGTATTGCGGCACGGTCGCAGTCCGGCCATCGTTCACTGCAAGTAAAGAACAAATCACGCTCGTAAATGATAAACACGTCTAGACATTGCAGCCTTGGGGCCGGCACGATTATGGATACTGGCACTGAAGGGCCTGCATACGTCACTTTGTGGGTATTGCTCTTCACCTAGGCAACTGTACGTCTATGGGAGAATCAGTTGTTGACTCCAAAGAGCCCTGGCCCGTGGCCAAAGTTGTTTTCGCCAAAAAACAGATAGATAGCGTTAATTGCCAGCGGACGCGATAAGCGGGGAGGGTCGAAATCAAGCACTCCACTTGTTTTCGCGTCCATTAGCAGCTACTTAGCTATTTATACGGGACTACACATTCTATATAAGCAGGGCAATCATGAGATCTGGCCTGACAACAGCACCAGGCAGAAGAAAGGGGCTCGTCTTCGCTTCTGGACTATTTATAGCTGCCCCATGGGTGACCTTGAAAGCGGCTGGACAACCCAACTAGCCTGCACCGGGGGGATCAATACGAACCATATTGGCTTTGGGCAGCGGCAGAGTAATGAGTTTTTCGACATGCACTCGATATAGTCGGCGCGATAAGGTCGCAAAGTGCTGAATCAGCCAACTTCCCGCTTGGCAACAGTGGGAACTCGTTTTCAGTCAGCGGATCTGGCGCTTGTGCCACATAAACCGGACAGTTGCCGCTGAAAGTTGCCGTTAACAAAGCCAGCCCAATGTACAGTCAAGTCAAGTGGTCACGTGATTGAAAACGAGCAAGAGCAGAAAAGCAAAAGCAAGATAAACGGGTTTCGTTTGGCCAAAATGCGTCATCGCTAAAAAGGCCTTGCGCAAGTCAATAGAAAACAGCTGTTGCCAAATCGAGTGCCGCCACAAGATTCGAGGAGGCTTCCAGCGGGGAACCACTATCTTTGGGTTCCCAACCATCCCAACTTCGGTTCGCTTTATCGGCTTACAAAATTCGCATGGTGTGACTTTAATTCACATAAACAACTGGGGAGGTGGTTGTTATTGTTTACAGATCATTTTTCTGGTGAATTTACATATTCACTTTACTGCTTTGGCGATTTTTAGCGCTGATCCGGGAAAACTGGAAGGCAATAATATTTATTAAACAAGAAACGCGCTCCGCTTGTTGTTGTTTTGGTATTTTGAAGCAGACTATACGGAAATATTGTTCACGTATTTTGCGCATGAAGCGCAGTCGAGGCCAAACATATGATTCAGCTTCAGATTCAGTACAATTATGTAGTTTCTAGCGAATGGCGCATAAAAACAATGACCCGAGTCAGCTGATAAACAAATGCCAGTATCATATCTGTATATCAAAGGTTGATGGCTATTATCGATCTTTGAACCAGACTGTAAAAGCAAGTAAACAATGCGAACTGCTGTTGCCCAGTTTCCTGCCTACAAATTCCAGATTAGACTAATTTGAGTTTTTCAGGCAATTGTCAACAAACCCATAAATTCGGTCTATCTATCACATAAAAGAAAACTAAGTTCACGTGCCCGTGGCCCCATTTTAGATTTGTTTATGTGCGAAAACTCGAACGTCACTTCTCGAATACTCAAATTTTCCATGGGGCGAACAGAAAAAACGAGTGTCAGCTCTCGGATACGCAAGCGTCTCAAATTTTCCATGGAAAATTTGTAAGGCAATGCGCAAACAAAATGCGAGCGGCGAATAAAGTGCAATCATAATCTGCAGCCAGACTGGCGGCATTTTTCCCGGCACGTGCCGTGCAGCAATTGAGTAAGTTTTATACTGACTGTGTAGTTTTTCTTATCATTCACTGTTCATCCTATTTTTGTACTCTCGTTTAAAATAGAATAAATGATTATTGAAATGGGAAAAACAAAATTGCATTCAAGATGAAGAACCTCTGTAGTAACGTTTTTTTTGTTAAATCAAATATTTAAATATAAGTTATACCTTTTTATGAAAATTTACCCTGGTAGATGAAAACTTCTATTCTAGCTCTCTATTTTAAATCGAATGAATAAATGAATACCCCATTTTTTTCTGTGTAAAATGGAATTCCCTCTGCGGACGGATGACTCACCTGCGAATCGAATCTTGATCAGATCCAGGGGGTGTAGAATGAGGGTGGACGCCACTCCGCCGGAAACGCCGGCCACCATATGCTCGTACTTGACATGGGCGAATACGTTGAATTTCTTGGGACTGCCCGTCGCTTGTGCTTTGATCGGATTCATTGTGCGGTTTCCGATTGATTTCTTGTGCGCTTCTTCTGTATTATTGTTGCTATCGCCGGGCTTTTCACTGCCCTATGTGAAATTCACTTGTGCTGCGGTGAATTGTACTAAAACTACGTGCTATTTACACTCTTTGGCTTTTGGGCTTTCGACAAACGGGCGCAAATCAAAGGAAATCGCTCGCCGAATCTATCTTGTTGCTAGGCGCACAGTTGTTGTTGCTGCTGCTGCTGCTGCTCCGGTTGTTGTTGTCGCTGCCGCTGCTACAGTTGAAACATTTCTGCCTTTGCTTTGTTGTTGCCCAGCTCATATTTTCACCCGTTTTTTGTTGGTGGACCAGACTTTTGTTTTGCTAACTTCGCCTCTTCGGTTCTTCCGTTCCCAGAGTGCTGATGAAATAATCGCCCGCAGTTGCTATATTTTTATTTTCGCTCGGCCATAAGTTTCTTATGTAATGCCAAGCTCGAAGACAGCCTGAGTAATTGCTTGGTGGGTTTGCCTAGCTGACGAGCGACTGATTAGCGCACTGCAGTTATAACCAAGCACGTGTGGCAGCAATGGAAATTAAGTAACAAGTTTTCAACGCGCGGGCAGGCGAACAAATGCGAACAGCAAGCTCCAAACGAAAAACGAGATAACCACTAGTGGTGGAGAAACATCGATGCATCCCTACAATTTCCCTCCATCGATATTCCACAACGATTGTATTTCGTTCCAATTAGCAAGTGTCAGCTCACAATGATTCCATAGAGGGCGCCTGTTTCTTAAAACAGTTTCCCCTTTCCGCCAATTTGGCGCTCCCAAATGTTAGATTTCATGGACTTTCTAACAGCAATGTTAAGATACAACGTTTTCTTAGGGGCTGTCCATATATTACGTAATCACCTAGGGGGGGGGAGGGGGTCATTGAAATGATTATGTTTGATTACATGGGGAGGGGGGGTCTTGTACAATGATTACGTAATCATTTTATATGAACTTTTTTATTTAAAGAATTTATTTAAAAACTTTTTTCCTTTAATTATATCTACAAACTTAGATAGGAAAGCAGGGAAAAAATTTTTGTAGTGGCTGGGCGGCAAAAAAGAGAATGTTTAGTGGTTTAATCACACGAAGGACGCGAAGACCTGGAATGGCTTGACGAAGAGTATGTTGGAGATAATATCAGCGTAGACGAACCATACCAAACTTCAATTATAAACAATATTAAAGATAAAGGTTGCATCTCCGTTTGAATCCACAGATTAAAACAAAAAAAATTTTATTCTTGGGATTACGTAATCATTGGGGGGGGGTGTTTATTGAATGATTACGTTTGATCACCAGGGGGGGGAGGGGGTCAAAAATCACCAAAAACGTGATTACGTAATATATGGACAGCCCCTTACATTGGCAGAGCAGCGGCAGAGGACTAACAGTTCTGCCAATGTAAGAAAACGTTGTATCTTAACATTTATGTTAAATTGACAGCAAGCTCCCTTAACGGGATAACCACTAGAGGTGGAGAAATTTTTTAGAAACATCGATGTTTTTTGGCGACAATCGATGTTTTTGTAACATTACCAATTTTAAAGAAAAAGGCATTTTTTAAATTAAGTTAACTGTGTTGACATGATTTTAGATATTCAACTGGTGGTGTAGGATGGAAGCGGCGGTGGATTAAGCTTCCTATAATACTATAATGTGAATATGCTGATCACTTAAATATTGTTGATCAATTTTGTTAATTTTTTAAACAAAGTCTTTATTCGGGCCTTTGTTTATTTTGTTTTTAAATGAACTATATAAATTTTTCAGTAAATAATAATCATTTTTGTAAAACATCGATGTTTGCAAACATCTATGTTTCTCCACCTCTAATAACCACCAGTATGACCGTCTAACAGTGCTGCCAACTCTTCGTGCTTGAAAAAGCTCGATTGGCCATTGAAAATAGCTAGATATATTCAGAACAGAAAAAGCTAGATCTCTGGGATTTCTTGTATATGAAAGAAAAGTTTTATTTAAACTGTTTTTAAAGTACACAACTTAAATGGCGGTTCGTCACTACTTTGTACTTCTTTAAGCTAACAAAATGTTAAAGAAATACAAAAAAAGGATGAACGCCGTTAGCGCGGCCCAAAGAATAAAAAAATTGACACTATAAAATAAAAGACACTATTAAAAGACATTCATTTGATCTCCAATTCGAAATGGAATGCGACGAGGACGATAATAAAAGTTGACAAATAACTCTCATGCTTCAATTTTTATTATAAAAACAAGAAAGGAAGCTAACTTCGGCCAGCCGAAGCTTTTATACCCTTACAGATAAAGTAATGCTCACTCGGTGCAGTTCCAGGGATTCCAGATTCAGCGTTTCTATTTTAATTTTGTTTATACATACATAAGTAGTCAAGAATCAAAACGCCTACTTCCTACAAAGTTACAACGAGTTTTCTCATATTTGTTTGAATATTCCTATGGAAGCCTTAAGATATAGTGGTCCGATCCGGCTCGCTCCGACATATGTACTACCTGCAATAGAAAGAAGACTTTTGGGAAAGTTTCATCGCGATAGCTTTAAAACTGAGAGACTAGTTCGCATAGAAACGGACAGACGGACAGACAGACAGACGGACAGACAGACGGACAGACAGACAGACGGACAGACGGACGTGGCTAGATAGACTCGGCTATTGGTCCTGATCAAGAATATATATACTTTATGTGGTCGGAAACGTCTCCTTCACTGCGTTGCAAACATCTGGCTGAAATTATAATACCCTCTACAAGGGTATAATGAACAAATAAGAGTTATTTGTCAACTTTTATAATAAAAATTGAAAATAAAGATTGAATTCAAATAACTCTTGAACTGTGCGGTACATTGGTTTAAAATTTATATATACGGCCCTGTTTTAGTTTTCACTTCCGAAAGATTCACACGGATTCGAATTTCCCAGACTTGTTCCAAGACTCACTTCCGAAAGAACTGCACGGAATTGAATTTCCCTCTGTTGTTACTCTGTTAACTTCGGAAAAATTCACACGGAAACTTTCCGCCAAGCATATGACAGGCGGATTTAAATTCGGCAGTATAAAAATTAAATTTTTAAATAAACTCCGCGATAACTTTATAAGTCAATAATATTTTTATGATATTCCTTGATGTTTTATGTTCCTAATTGCATCATCGGAATCGAAATTATTTGCAAATATGACTTATTAATAATTATTTTGTGGTTGCACCTTAAAACGGGATAACGACATATCTCCGCCGTCATATCTCCGCCCAGTGCATTTCGTCGGCGGAGATATGTCGCGATTTATTTGGCGGAGATTTGACGTTTAAAAACGACATATCTCCCCCGTTAATCAACGCGGAGATATGACGTTTAAAAACGACATATCTTCGCCCATTTAAGAACGACATATCTCCGCGCGGAGATGTGACGTTTAAAAACGAAATATTTTCGCGCGGAGATATGTCGTTTTTAAACGTCACATCTCCGCGCGGAGATAAGTCGTTTGTAGAAGGGCGGAGCTCTGTCGTTTTAAAACGACATATCTCCCCGCGAAGTTTTAAAAGCTACAAAGTTTTTTTTTTATATAAACATATGTACATACTCATTTTAAAATGTACATATTCATATTCGTGCATGTTAAATCAGGATAAATTATAGAGCGCAAATTTTTTGTTCCACATACTCAAACGTACATACATAGACATACACATATATATTTATTTTTATGTCCTATATGTGAAACAGTGGAAAAAATGCAAATTAAAATTCATTATTGGATTAAATAAAATACAAATACATATATTGAACATTATGAAAAAACATAAATATATTATAATAATTTTAAATGTTACTATTAAATACAAAAATAAATATAAATATATTTCCGATGTTTGGAAATCTAAATGTTTTGTACCACTGTACTATAAGAAGGGAGAAGTGATGTGGCACGCGCCAAGAAGAGAGAAGTGATGTGGCACGCGCCAAAATTGCATTTTACCTATTCTTCTTCTATTAAGTGTTGTGTACGTATACAGAAATCATTTGACTTCGTAAGTTCGCAGCGAGCAGTTGACCTAATAATGGACTTGGAGAACATTAAATTTGAAATTCGGGAAGGAAGCCGAAAGGGCTCACAACTTTTAGTTTCGATTTGTGATGAGCAGTTATTTGTGAAAAATAAAATATTGAAGCTCGGTGATATAGCATACGTCTGCCGCGTGGAAGGCTGCAAAGCCAGACTATATTTAAGTTCAGATAAAACACGTGCTTTTTCTAATGCTAATAATATAGTGCATAATCATCCGTCCCAGAGTCGCGAAATAGCCAAACTCGGTGCGGTATCAGAAATTAAACAAAAATGCAAAGATAATACAAATTCGGACATAAAACAAGTGTTTAATGATGTTCTGGCTGAGTGAGTATTACATACACATATGTACATTCGTACATAGAATAGTACATGGAATAGTTCACAATAAAGAAGTGGTCGGCAAACACACACAATGACCTTCTGTTTTATAATTGTGTAAGTAATTTGCAGATCGCTGCTCTACAGTGAATTTTTTTTTGAGGTATTGAATTTTTTGTCAATAGCCATCAGATTTCTTTCATGAACGCACGTTGCGACGCGTCGCAGAATGTAGTCCATTTCACTCATTCTTATTGGATACTTATATGATATGCTTGGAAGTTTTTGACAATTTCTGAATGAAACAAATTAAAGTTAAAAGTATTTTTTATATTTTTATCTTAAATCTTAAAAAAAAAAAACAAATCTAAAAAGCTTTTAATAAAAATAAGCTATAAATATTACATTTATTTTTTAATATTAAACAATTTTTTTATTGATTTTAGAACTGTTTTAATTTTGTTTTTATTATATTTTGTATTTAGAAGTTTGTCATTCAGAAATTGTCAAAGAGCATGTAGAAAAATTAACTTTATAAGTATCCAATAAGAATGAGCGAAATGGACATTTATACAATGATACAATATACAATGATACATTTATATATAAAATATATAACATACTTTTATATTTTTAGTAAAATTCGATATTTAAATTTAATTATTCCCTTTTCTGTTTGATAAAGAAAAACCAAAGGTGAGGAGGAAATTGAGGTCAACTACGACACTGTCAAACGAACTCTACAAAGAATAAGGCAGCCATTCTTGCCCAAGTCTCCAACAACCCCAGAGAGCGTTCGTTTAATGTTTGAAGATGAAAACGTCATGAGCCTATTTGGTATGACCAAAGGAAATTCTCCACAACGCTTTTTCAAAAAAGTATACGTATCAAGCTCATTTGCGTACTGCATTTTTTCTTCGGACAAGATAATTGGCTTAATTGAAACTAATATTGAAGAGAAAAATCGTAATTATCTTATCGATGCCACTTTTAAAGTTTGTCCATTTGGAGATTTTAAGCAACTTTTAATAATTTACATAAAGCATATGCAGAAGGTAAATTATATCTTTTAATTAACATAAATAGATTATTATATTTTTTTCATTGCTTTAGATAACGCCGTTCATATTTGTATTGATGACGCGAAAAACTGAGCTGTGCTACCAGCACTTGTTTATGTATATTGATTCCAACATTTGTTGCTTAAAAGGTGCATCTTTTATTTCGGACTACGAAACAGCAATGAGGAACGCTCTAAAAAAATTGCATCCCTCAATGGACTTCTTTGCTTGTTGGTTCCATTTTACACAAGCATGCAAAAAAAATGCAAAAAAGACGTCCGGATTTGAAAAAATGCTAAAATTCAATAAACATGCATATGTGCTCTTTCTCAAGTTTTTGTATTTACCGCTTCTACCTGCAACAAAAATAATCGAAGCTTTTAATATGTTGAAATGCCAAGCACAATCTTTAGAAAAGAAGCTGTTTTCTCCTTTTTTAACATATTTTGAGAAACAGTGGCTTAAAAAGGTTAGTTCTGTGTTATAAGTTATAACTTACAAACTTGTATTGTTCTTAGTTTTTTGTATATTATAAGAGATTATTTCTATTCTCAGGAAGGACCTGAAAACATTTCGGTTTTTAAGCGTTCAACTCGAACCACCGGGTCTGTTGAAGCGTATAATTTGAATTTGGGCAATAAGATTCGAGCAAAAGGACATTTTTTCAAATTTGTCCAATGTTTAATTGATGCAGAATTCGAGAAAAGCCGCGAATTCGCCCTCCTGTTCCAAAACGGCGGTGTTGGAAATCAACCAATAACGAAACAGTTACGTGTAAGTATATAATATTTTATTAAGTGATAACTATACATAAGAACAATTATTTTTTTCAGAATCGCGCTCAAAAAATCATGGACGCAATGGAGTTGTTTGAGAATGGAGAAATAGATATTCAGGGATTTTTAACTCGGACGGTTTCGCTAAACGATCCTCTTCAGAAGCAGGATATCTTCAACAGTGTGGATGACACGGAAACTAATTCGGCTGACCTTAATTCTTCAATATCATCTATTTCCTCAGAAGGTTCCAATTTGAGTCAGTTGTCGGATACTGCTATAGTCCAAATGAACCCATGTAATGTGTGCCTATTGAATCCTAAATCTGTTTTACTGCGACCATGTAATCATGTAAATATCTGCGGCTTATGCTGGGATAAAATTGTCGAAAATAATTCGTTGAAAAATGATGATACTGAAGATGATGAAAGTGGAAATTCGAAACCGAAATGTCCCAGCTGTAATCAGCCTGTTGATGAGGCAATTCGAAATGTTTTTATTTACAATTAAGTAAGATGTTAAATAAAATGCTGTTAATATATTCAAAAACAAACAGTTTGAAGTAATAATACATATAAATGACAAGGACTTTCTTTGAATTGGGACGGTATGATCAGCGGCGGGGTCGGCATAATTATTTTGACAACTTTTAAAGTTAAATCTTCTCATATTTTGAACTTATAATATAAACATTTTGGTACCTATAGAAAGAGCACTTCAATTTCGTTTAAATGACACAAAAAAACCAAAATGTTTTGATGCAAAGTTTTTTCCCAATCAAAATTAATAATACTTGCAAAAAAAATTTTCCTTGTATTTTTTATAATTTTTTGAGAATAGCTAAAAATTACAATTTTAGCCGCTTTCTCCACCTTTTCATAAAAAAATTTACTAAGATCGTTCATGAAAATCATCAGAAAAATTTATATTAAAAGTTCAAAATGTGACTACACTTAACATTTCAAACGTCATACCTCCGCGCGGAGATATGTCGTTTGCAGAAGAGCGGAGATATGACGTTTAAAAACGACATATCTCCCCCGTTAATCAACGCGGAGATATGACGTTTAAAAACGACATATCTTCGCCCTTTTAAAAACGACATATCTCCGCGCGGAGATGTGACGTTTAAAAACGAAATATTTTCGCGCGGAGATATGTCGCTTTTAAACGTCATATCTCCGCGCGGAGATATGTCGTTCGCAGATGGGCGGAGATATGTCGCGCGGAGATATGACGCTATGCCCTTAAAACCCGGTAAATTCTAGCCTTAACAATTAATGCAAATCCGCCGGCCTTGTTCTAAATTCCGCTCGGATTTGGTAAAAATGGCCTAGAGTTGTCACGGTATAGATACACTCATAAAAATAATTTTCTACATTTTAGAAAATCGCCCTAAAAAAATTTTCGCCCGTGAACTGAGAAAAATTTTCTATTTTCACGACAAATTTGCCATAAATTCAAGGCAGGTGGCCATAAAAAAATCTTTTTAGGGTTAATTTTTCTATTTTTCTAATATTTAGGGCGATTTTTTTCGATTTGCTTTGTTTTGACCTTTTCTAAATCCAACGGCGAATCGCCCTAAATTTTTCCCTACAATTTTTCTAAACACAACGGCGATTTGCCTTAAATCTGAGGACTGCAGGTCAGCATAGAAAGAGAGAAAAATATAAAAATAGAGATACCAGATATGCAGCGGTTTTTGGTTATGTTTCCGTCTCCTCAAAAGAGTGAGACGGAGCACTTTTTTCGACGAACTTTCGGGAAATTTGTGTGCACTTCGTGTGACCTACGTATGTATGGATTTTAGTGCGTTGTGAGTTTTGACAAGTGTTAGACGTAAGTCATGGAGCTGCTACTAAAAGACTTGGGAGGAGAAGCCTTTATTAATATTTTTAATGGTAAGTAAATTGTGTAGTACATGTACGTATTTTATAAATAGATAATTAATGTGATATAATTTAATTGTGTTTATTAGAACGGCATTTCAACCTTGAAACCTTAAAACACTTAAAATGGGATCAGCTGCGTGGTGAAATTCCAGTAGAATTGGTAGGGCCAGCAGTCGAGTTTTTTCAAAGACTAGAGCTATGGCAAAAAAACGTAAGTATTAAAGATTCAGTGCAAGTTCAAACATAAATACGTTTTGGTTGTCGAAATATGTGTGTGTATGCATTTGTTTTCCTTTTGTTGCGCGAAGGGGCAATAAACTGCGCAGTCGCGACGCGTGGGCGCCGCAAAGAAAGAAACTGCGCATTTGTTTTTCAGAATAAGGGTTGAAATTTTGAGTTACTTTCAGTTGTGTGTGATTTGTGGTAAAGTGAAGATCTATTTTGGTTTAAATTCTGTGCAACAATTAATCTAGATAGCTAAAAATTAGACATATTTCATAAATTTTCAGGATCAGGATCAGGATAACAGTATTGAGTCCGTATTTGGTGTTTCATTGAGCAATATTCTGGCAAACAGCAAGAAGGGAAAGCTTATAATAAATAGCTATGAAGAAACAAAATCCCTCAATACCAGGACGCGAAGGGAGCTGAGCTGTTCCATCGTAGAGTACTTGCTGGCAAATGCTGTTCAACCCAAGCAGGAACTCTTAGAAGACGTCGCCTTGCAAATTACTCATCTATTCAGTTCTGAAACTGCTGTAAGTAACTATTTTATTCCAAAAACAGTATTAAATTGGAAGTTTTTTTCCCCTAGGAAACCTATTTTCTTAAAAACAAAGGCAAAAAGCCAGGTGGACTGCTCTACTCAAACTATTACAACCTTAAAGCTAAATTTTCCAATAAGGCTCCTAAAGTCAGGTCTGAGGACGAAGAAAATCTTTTCCCAAATGCACATGTTCTTGAAGGCAAGTGAAACTTAACTTTTTCGAATACATGTATTTAAGAAGTATTTTGCGTTTACAGAGGAGGTCGAGTTAGCAAGAACTTGGTTAAAGCTAAATGTCGAGCCGTTCGAGACTGTTCTGAATCACTGGAACTCTAGCTTTATGTGGAGGACTAATTTTCTTAAATCAGAAGCAAATTTCTCCGATGTGTTGGATGAATTTCCAATTTTAAAGCAATCATTTGGACACTCTCTGGTTCGTTACTCTTAAAATCCAAACTTTCCCATATCTTTAAAGTAATTTTATTTTAGATTGAGGCCGATTTTGATTTGCTGTATCCCCATCAAAGCAGAAAATTGGTTGAAAAATGGGATAATTTTAAAATACAAATTGTTCCCCTTCTCAAGTCCAAAGTCAGAGAGCAACAAAGTTTAAATTTGTTGAAAATTTTTGACCAGCAATCAGAAGGTATTTATTTATGTTTAGATATTATAAAATCATTTTTAAAGCAAACTATTTTCTCATTTAGGAACTAAGTCAACTTTAATATGGATGTGCCTACATGCAGTTTTGGTTCCAACAAACAGATGCAAAAAACCTGGATCCAATAATCCAGCAGACAAATTCACGATCGCCGACTCGAGAAACCGATTCATGGTGTGGAAGGCGAGTTTGGGCGAGCTGCAGACATTTCTAAAGGATCAAACGGATACTTGTTTCAGTGACAAGCTAAAACTTCAGCCCTTTGTATGTTGTATCGGAACTAACCCAATTAATTTGACTGATTTTTTTGTTTATCTTTTGTATTTGTATTTTGTATTTTATTATTTCGTGTCATCCTCCGGTATATTCTACCGTATGCCAGACTTGCTCACAAGTATTGATGTTTGCTTCAAGATATTTTTTGTTTTAAATCTCAAATATCCTAGTGAGTGCCAATTGGTGTGGACATTTATTCAAAAGCTAATTTTTGAAATTGAGCTTAGCTCAGATATAAAAAACAAATCTGTTTCGGAGCTGATAAATGATTATAAAAATTTAAAAAAGTAATTTATTTTTAAATTTGAACTTTTCTCTTATAATATTTCAATTTTCAATATATTACATTTTCTTTTTATATTATAAGATATTAGGTTTAAATTTTTTGCTAATTTTCGTTAACTTTGAAACTTTTTTATTTTTTTTTTAAATATTTTTAATTTTTTTCTACCATTACATTTAGTTTTTATATAGTTTTCCTTAGGTTAATCATTTAATTTTGAAACTTCTTTTTTTTTCCTTACTTTTTATTTTTTCTTACCATTACGTTTAGTTTTTTATATCGTTTTTTTTATAATCATTTAATTTTGTAACTTTTTTTCTTACTATTACTTCTTACTATTTAGTTTTTCATATTTTTATTCCAAATCCGTATCAAAATGGAACTGAAATGTAAAATTTGCTTTCTTAATTTTGCTGACAAAACTAAATTCATGGCTCATATGTGTGAATATCATACGCTTACACTTTTTTGCAATCTTCCTTGCGGTTTTATGTTTTGTTCCCAAACATATTCTAATATACGGTCCCTCGCCAAACACATTCAAAACGAAAGTTTACATTTACAAAAAAATAATACAGACGACAATAGTACAATAGTAAATTAACAACAAGAAGAATTAGAATTATTAGAGTTTCCGATAGTAAACAAACCTTCACAACAAGAGATAGAATCAGATTTAAAAAGCCCACAGATTGTCAACACACATGATTCCAAACCGAACACCGTAAATTTCCAAAATAATACAGAAAACTTTACCTTAAAATTATGCTCAATATTAAAAACTCCACGCGAAGAAGTTTTCAAATTGCAAAAAGAAATTAAAAGATATATCACAACCCCGTTAGAAAAGGAATTACGGAAAGTTAGAAATTCACTAAAGACGCCACACGATTTAAATAATATTATAGATTTTTGCCAAAACCCATTTAGGAACTGTAACAGTGAATACAATCTATTAAAAACTCTCAGGGATAAAGATTTATATGAGGATCCGCTTATTATAACCATTGATAATAGAATATCCCCAATTAGATTTAGAAGCAGAATGTCTTTAAAAGCAAAAAAAAATACAAGCGGCAATCTTTCCTTTAAAGTTTCACTTAAAAAAATTTTTTGAAATGCCGTCTGTACTTGACAGTTTTTTGAAAAGACTTGCTTATTGGGAAGGTCAAAAGAATTTTTGTAATTTCGTAAACGGTTATTTATGGAAACAAATTAAGTTAAGCTTCTCTAATTCCGATAAAATTGTCTTGCCATACTTTTTATACTTCGATGACTTCGAGGTTAACAATCCATTGGGCCCACATTGTGCCCCTATTCAAGGGGTTTATTTGTCCTTCCCAACTGCTCCCAATGAATTAAATAATATCTTTTGTGCTGCATTATTTAAGACATTTGATATTAAGTTATTAGGTTATTCTAAGTGCCTTTTTAAATTTATAAAGCTTCTACAAGAACTTGAAAATGACGGAGTGGATGTAAAAATAAATGGGAGGCACCATAAAATAGTTTTTGTCTTAGGACTAATTTTAGGCGACAATTTGGGACTGAATAGCGTTTTGGGATTCACAACCTCATTTTCAAGCAGTTTTTTTTGCAGGTTTTGTAAGCTTTCAAAATCAAAAACTGCATTAGCATACAATGTTAAATTTAAATATTTGCGAAATGAAGTGAATTATAGAGAAGATATTGAACAGAGTGACCCAAAATTAACAGGAATAAAGTCCGATTGTGCTTTTAATAAACTTCAACATTTTTCAGCAGTAAAAAACTTTTCTGTCGACATACTTCACGATGTATTCGAAGGCATTTTACGCTACGATATTCCGCATATTATTATGCATTACATTGGTACTAAAATATTTGATCTAGAAACATTAAATTTACGAAAAACTAATTTTCAATACGGTACTGCTGAAATCGGAAATATTTTTCCCCCGTTGCAGTTGAATCATTTAAAAAAATTTAATATTAAAGCAACAGCCCGTGAGCTTCTCACATTTGTAACTTATTTTCCATTAATGATAGGGGACTTAGTTCCAATTGAAGATACGGTTTGGAAATTTGTGAAAAATTTACTAAAGTTAATGGATATAATTACATACTCTGAGTATACCATCAATGATTTAAAATCTTTAAAAGAAATCATAACATACCATAATAAGGAATACCCTATTTTATTTAATGATTCTTTAAAGCCAAAGCATCATTTTTTATTACATTATTATGATATAATACAACAGTCTGGACCCCTTAAGTATATGTGGACTTTTCCTTTTGAAGCCAAACACAAAAGCTTAAAAACATACGCAAAAAACACGACTTCTCGAAAAAACATTATTGTGTCCTTGGCAAACAAGATGTGTATTAATTTTGCAAATTATATTCAAAATTTTAAAGTCCAGGAACTAGAAATCAGCAAATCCAAGTGCTTAGGAACAAATTCCCTATTATTCGAAGAGCTTTGTAACTTTTATGATCAAATAGAAAATGTTACTTGTTATACCTACGTAAAACTTCAAAATATTATTTTTAAAAAGAATTTTATAATATACAGCTTCGAACCAGATTTTATATCATTCGAAATAAATGAAATATGTTCCTTTGAAAACGAAGTTTCAATGTTATGTGCTAAGCTAAAAACGAAATATAGTGAGCATTTTACATGTCATAAAATATTGAAAAAAAAGGAATATACCCTGATAAAGTTGAATGACATCAAATTTCCGCCCACGGAAACACAATTAATAAATGAAAACATGTATATTAAACCTAAATTCTATTTTTAACTAATCTTTAAATATTTATTAGTTTAAGCAATATTATAAGTACCTAATAGTATTTAAAAATATTTATTATGTTAAAAAAATGTATACATAAATTTAAGCAATACCAATGTAAAATAATAAATAATTTATGAAAATCCAAAAATAAAACCAATTTTTTAGGGCTATCCACCTGTTTTTAAGAAAATAATTTCTAATATTCAGAAAAAAATACCATAAAAGTAATCCCAATTTTTAAAAAAATTTAGAAATAAATTCTATTTTTGGCGGCGATTTACACGAGAATTCAGAAAATTGTCCCTAAATTTAAGGAAACCGCATCTCACATTTAGGGCAAGTCACCAATAAAAGAGGAAAATCTGTCTAAATGAAAGAAAATTTGCCCTAAATTATGACAGTTCTGAACCAAATCTAGAATAATAATTCTGATGTTTAGGGCTTTTTACCCTAAATTCACGAAAATTGTTCTAAATTTAAGGGCATATGGGATAGAAATTAGAAAGCCCATTGGTACAATTAGGGCATATCACCTTAAAAACAGGAAAATATTTATCAATTCAAGAAAAAACACCCTAAATTAAACCAAATTTCCATAGGAATTTTTTAGAAAAATTTTTCTAAATCCACGGGCGAATCGCCAGAGGATACGATTTACGGGCGATTTTCTAAATCCACGGGCGAAAAGTCAGTTTTTTAGGGCGATTTAGGGTAAAAATTTCTATGAGTGTATAGGTAAGTATTTAGTTGGGACTTTTTCTAAACTAATCCGATAAGGTTAATGGTTCTTTTATAAGAAAGATAATTTATCCTAATTAACGAAATAAGTGTTTTGGCTCGGAATACCACAATATTTGATGTAAAATTTGAACGGGGACATTTGAGAAGGATTTTGTTTTTCGACTTTGTCATCTCTGTATGCTTTAGCAGTTTGCAACACTGTGTTTCCCCATACTGATTTTGAATAATATTCTGTCGGGAGCCTTGCAAAACTGCAAAGGGAAATAATATGAAATGACCCTAACAAATAAGGGAAATTTAGTACTGTTAATAGGAAATCCGATAATGTTAACAAATTCACTTCCGAGTGAAAACTGGAATAGGCCGGATATATCAGGCCTGTTCCAGTTTTCACTCGGAGGTGAATTTGTTAACATTATCGGATTTCCCTTTAACAGAACTAAATTTCCCTTTCTTGCTAGGGACATTTTATAAAATTTCCCATTGGTCCCTGCGCAGTTTTAAAAGGCTCCCGACAGAATAGTATTAAAAATCAGTGTGGGAATCATAGTATTGCAAACTGCAAGAGCATACAGAGATGCCAAAGTCGAAAAACAAAGTCCCTATCAAATGTCCCCGTTCAAATTTCACATGAAAAAATGTGGTATTCCGAGCCAAAACACTTATTTCGTTAATTAGGATAAATTATCTTTCTAATAAAAGAACCATTAACCTTATCGGATAAATTTAGAATAAGTCCCAAGGAAATTCTAACTTATATCCATACCGTGACAACTCTAGGCCATTTTTACCAAATCCGAGCGGAATTTAGAACATGGGCGGCGAATTTGCATTAATTGTCATAGCTAGAATTTACCGAGTTTTAAGGTGCAACCACAAAATAATTATTAATAAGTCATATATGCAAATAATTTCGATTCCGATGATGCAATTAGGAACATAAAACATCAAGGAATAGCATTCAAATATTTTTGACTTATAAAGCTATCGCGAAGTATATTTAAAGAATTAATCTTTATACTGCCGAATTTAAATCCGCCTGTCATATG